AGAAGGTGAAACGTGAGCTGCGTTATATGTAGTAAAAGACACCAGTGAGGACTTGCGGATGTGGGATGGGGAGCTGGGGTTTGGCACGTCCGCCTTCCAAGAGATGGGTCCTGCAAACTGCCCGGCACCCTGCGTTAACTTCAGCCCTGGAGCTGTCCGAGGGGGCTTGCTGGCCTTAGTCACACACCGGGGGCTCAGCACCTGTCGACAGTTTCACAACCGATCGGGGCCCCCATTTTGGGGGCACACAGAAATCGGGAGGGCCTTCTGGCCACCTTGTACTCAAGTGGCACGCCTCCCAGTGACGGGGTCTCCAGCTTTCATCCTGTAAATGGGTTTGTGAAAGAACAGCCTGCTCGGGCGTGGGCTGCGATTACTGAAAATGGGTTATTTGTGGAAACCGAGCGGTAATGGTTAAACCCTGCCACAGCCCTGTCCTGTGATTACAGCGTGACAGCCAGAAGCCGTTCTTCTGGGCCGTGCCTCCTGCTTCCAGGCTAGCAAAGAGGGCAGATAAAGAAAAGAAATGAATAAAATATCGCTCTTGGACTTAATAGGTAGTTTTTCCCATGACTTCTTTGAATTGGAAAACATTTATTTTAGAAAAAGATTCTCGTGACTTAACAAGACTACATGACTTAACGTGACTACTTCGCCCTAGTCATTTTATTTCTGGTAACAAACAAGAAAACATAGAGAAAACATTGAAAATTATACCAAACCATTAAATATATGATTTAATTTTTAGAAACAATAGAGTAAAAATAATTTTGTTGTCATTTGAATCTGAATACTGTTATTATTTTTGTATTTTACCTCCTCGGAACTCTTCAGCCAATTCAAAGTCCTGGGTTTTTTCCATGTGCTTTTTGAGACAATGACAGATTTAATCTTGTGGATACCACAACAGGAAATTAAAAATAAGGGGAATGGGGGGGTGGAAAGATTTCCATTGCCTGTGAGTACTGAAACCCCTGGTGCACTTTTTTACTTCATTGGAAGCCATCCTTATTTGTGGTGTTCCTGAAAGACAGATTGAGGCCACTAAAATAAGACTTAAGTATGAGGAAAGAAAAAGTGAAGGTACCTCAAAGCTTGAGTTTCTGTTGAGGAAGACTCTGTTTTCAGGTCAAAAAAAGCGATTTACTTTTCTGCATCTTTTTACTTCCTTGCCCTTCCAAGAGAGGACTACTGTTAGGATGTTCAATACACCGCAGACAGGGCTCTCTACAAAGGAAATCAACTGATAAAATATAACTATTATAGTTATAATATAAATATAATTACATAGTTGTGATTTAACCTGTAGGGTAATAAGCCAGACATTTTGAATGAAGCCAAAGAAAACAACCCCCCAAAAAGATTGACAGCCACAAATAGATAATCATTTGCTGCTGTTACTTGAAAATAGAGGGATTGCTAATAATGCAAGGAGTGCCAAATCCTGGAAACCCCAGCTTGGATAGGAAGCTTCCATAAATCTGTAGTCTGACAGCTCTATACTCCTGTAACTTCATGCATGAAAAAATCATTTTGCAAAAGCAGCAAAAGGTTGTGCAGCAAGTCAGTGCCGTGGTGTGTCTGGATTGCCACTGTTCTTAACTCCTGAATTAAGAGGTATTAAGAGAGAGAAATTATTAAGAAACATCACACCCAGAGCAAAAGGTCGTCTTTTTAGCAGCATACAGCCAATCCATGACTTGTGGACAGGAGAGAAAGGATCAGCCATTAATTCTTTGTCAGAACTACAGCAAAACTGTCCTTGCCGATGCAGATACAGTAAAGAAATAGCATTTTCTCTTGTTTCTTGAAGGCAGTGCAAGTAAACTGTTGGGATTGTTGCTGAATGTCCTGAGATGCAACAGCATTTACCTTTGCATCCTCATACAAGATACATGTGTGAGCGTTCATCAGCAGTCAGTAGGAATCAATGTGGCCTAATTATAACTTATTGCAGCTAATTGGTGCCCTACATTTCTTTTCCATGTATGCCACAAATTTGCCTTGAGCAAGATATCCTACCATCACTGGTTCCCCTGTGTTTGAAATCAAGGTAGTGGAAAGCTCTGCTGGGTACGTCTTTAAGAGTGTAGACTACGAAAACTATGAGTGAGGCATTTATTCTGCAAAGATCCCTGTTAATGATGCTGATTTTGCTGTTGGCCATGTTCCTTGTCACAGATGCCAGGGATGCATTTTTATTTGCAGCTGCTTTTTTTTTTTTTTTTTTTTTTTTTTTTGGCTGTGCCCCCGTGTTGTAAAACAAGCAAGTAATATTCTGCGATTTCCAGAGAATTTTGAGTGGATGCTTCTGTTGTTTGAGGTGTTTAGATAATGTCATAGGAAAACTGGAAATAGCTTTGCAAGTGTCCAGTTTAATTTCTAGCTCGTTTTGTACAGTACAACTATGATTATTCCCACTGAGATTCTAATAATAGGTAACATGTAAAATGCAATTATGTGAATGCCATACTGATTTTCCTTAGTATGCTCTGCAGTTATACTGCCTCAAGCTGTATTCTCGTTGTGCATTAATGAACTTAGGATGCAGGAGGATGAACTTGCATGAGAGGCTTCTAAGGAACAGATAATTGCTGCAGTTTCTAGTTCAACAGAGAGTGCTGTCCTCTTTGGTGATATCACTGGACAAGTGGCTTTCAGGCCAAAATATTCTAGACAGAAGATGTCCAACTGATCAACTTCCTAAGTGTGATATGCTAGGAAATTAAAAATATCTACGAGCATTTTTGCAACTGATTTAACTGCTACACTAATTTCTTTTAAGTGATTAATTAAATGTTAAGGTAGAAACATGACAAATACTCTGACCTCGAAGTTAGCTAAACCAGTTATCAGACACTGGAATTTTATTTTCCAAAGTTACTGAATATTAGGTGTCTAAATGCATGCTGCAGCTGCTTTAGTTGACCAAACAGATATTCATTTTTGGGTTGAGACATTAAAGGAAAGTCCCAATTCCACGTTGTGGCCAAATTTTGAGTTCAAGTACACACTTTCTTCCCTCCCTGTAAAACTCCTGGATATTTGTTGGTTTGTTTTTTGTTTGGTTTTTTTTTCAGTTGGGTCATACCATTTGGCTACTGCTATACATTTTCATGTATTTTGGTGGTGCTTTCTGTTTTGAAACAGAGCAACTTTTCCAAGAATAGGACATAAATGCTGCAGTTTGTACTGTTCACTGCTATGCCGGTAAAATCCTTGGGACCCATTTAGATGGCAAGAGCTTCATAAATGAACCCTTGTTCCTGTGAGCAGTGCAAATAATGGTAATCCATACTGTGAAAAGTCTACCTCTATTTGCACTTAAAAGTTGAAACTAGAAACATCAGCCAGATTTCTCTAGAGGAGAAGAATGTAATCCTGGAACACTTCTGTGATGAGAAACAAATGATTCTCACAACATATGAAATGAGGACAAATAACAAAAGCTAAGAACAGTATCATCATCCCTTAAGTTGGTTATGGCTGGTTTTTTAGTAATACAATTTTTTCATCATGTTTTTCCGCAGTGTTGCCAGATGAGAGAGAATTTCAATATGCCGCTAAAATGAACAATTTGGAAACCATGGAAAAGCTGTTTAAAAAGAATGTTAATATAAATGCTGTAGATACTGTGAGTATGAAGCTTCTGACACATCACTGATCTGAAATGTGACTCCTCGGGGTTGCGTGGTGGAATCCCAGTGTGCTAGCCCTGTCAACTGCAAAGCAGTGAGGCTGCGGGAGTCTCTTCTAGGACCTGATTAAGAAACATTTCACACATCCAGTGTGGGCAATAGAATTTGTGCATCATAACTCACAGGTCTTTGTATTTAGCCACTAGCCTGTACATCACATTCGAAACTAAGGACTTGTGAATTGTGGTCCGTGCTCTAATGTTTAGTCTTTGTTCCTGGGTGACTAATTTCTCGAGTTCCCCATCTTTCAGAGCAGGAGGACTTAACATCAGAGTCACTTTGAGAATGAATTTATGCTGCTAGCAATACAAATTTCAAGCACTAAGTGTTACCATTCAGTTTGTATGGAACCAAGGGAGCATTCTACCACGTCCTCTGCCTCCATGCTGAGATCAGAGTTCATATTTACCCTAGGCAGATGAAAATGCATTTCTTATGCTGACATCAGCTCTAGTCGTAAAATCTGAGGATGTATACATGCTTCACAGTAACAAAATATAGTGCTGTGTTCCACATAAGAGGTAGTTCAACAGCAATGGAGCAGTTGTGATATTAATCTGGGAGTTGTGGAGAATAGTTTGCCCTCAGTGCCTACGTATAAATCATCCACCCATGAACATCCAATATTACTTAATCATGGGTTCTGAAAAAAAATAGCTTCCCATGCCCACGTGCATTTTTCCCCACTGCAGAATTGAGGCAATAGTACAGGTGCATTCCTTGGTTTGTTTGTGAAAAAGAGAGGGACACAAAAATTTCTTTCGAGTAAACATCTCTTGAACAATGGGAGTGTTCCCATCAATTACACAGTGCTCTAAAAAGTCACTTAAAAATAGTTTTTGCTTCCTTATTGCTTTCCGGAATTCAGGAAATTAAACTAAATACTTTTCCAGTCCAGCAGTTTGAATCTTTACTCTGTCATCTTTAAATCAGACCTATAGTATAAGAGATTTACTAGCATAGCTACGTGGGTGTTGTGCTTTGATTGGTTCTCTTAGTGAGGATGTACCTTATACTGGCAAAACCATTCTTTTGTTCATGTTGATCATTCCTGCCCCTGTACTCCCAAGCCAAACAGGCAAGGCTGCCAAAAGGTGAGTTTTGTTGATGGAACTATTTCTGTGCTAGAAATTTATTTCTGGCATAAATGCATGTCATAAATCCCACCTTTTTATGCTTTTAATGCATATAGCTGTAAATTTAGACTTATACATGGGTAAGTCAGCTGATCTGCATAGAAGTATAAGAGAACAAATCCAAACTGACTTTTAAAGTTAATTGGTTAAATCACTTATATATCCTTGTATGGAAACTCTCAGTGAGTTATGTTAAACCCAGTTATGTTCACTTTAACTGGAAGCAAAACTCACTCCACTAAAGTTTAATTCAATTTAACCAATCCCTTTTAAATTCACACCATTAATTACTTTAATGAAAAATTAATGAAGTGTTCCTGATAAGCATTGAGCGTATTCACCTGTGTAAAATTACTCACTGTTTGCAAGGTGGAAGCTTTCATTTACATAGATAATGACTCAGTCTGGGAAAGTGACTAATACTGAGGGAGGGAGGAATATCATCATGCATTGCAGAGATACAGTCAAAAGCAAGGAGGATACCAAAAGGAAATCTAATTGTGTAAGTCTAGTCCTCAGCTTTTCAAATCAAACCATATAATAAAATAGTAAACATGGATGCTTCTTGTACTGCATGCATCTCCTCTAGGCAGTATATGATTACTTAATCCCACTTTGACATTTCAGTGAATTTCAGTGAAGGGATGATACTATGCAGAGTAAATAAATCGTTCTGGTTCTGCAAAAAATCTTTTAAGATCAATACCTAAATTCTATCCAAGGGAACAAAAGTGCAGATAAAGATCAAGTGTGACTGTTGAAGGAGAAATATGCAAATGTATATATATAAACAAATACATTTGTTAATAGTCAGAGATTTCAGAAATCCTGATCACCTGCACAAGGAAAAGAACTGTATTATGGACCTAACAACCAAAGCTTTGCTTATTTCAGCTGAAGCGCACTGCGTTCCATTTTGCTGTTGCAAGAAGTCATATGTCGGTGGTGGATTTTCTTCTCCATCACAAAGCTAGACTTGATATGGCAGATCAGGTAAGCTGGTTTACATGTTTTGATTCACACAGTATAGGAACACCTTAGGGGAAAAGTAAAAGTAGGTATTTGCCTTTATGCTTCCTGTTTTGCAAAGTATTGTGCTTGCTTTAAGTGCTTCAGTTTGTCTGAAGGCTGCATACTGTTAGAGGAAAAACACATTGCCCAGAGCTTTGGCTATTGATGAATACTTGAATGAGCAGCAGGGAAGGTTGAAGCTACTTGTGCAAATACTCTGTCTGTGGTAGTCGTGTGTTAATCATTGGCCAGTTTATAGGGAAGCAATCACTAAAAGTAAAAGTTAGTTCTGGGGATTAGTAGGAGCTCAGAGAGTAACTCCTTGTGTTCTTTCCCTCCTTTTTTGAGTCGCTTAATGCAAAACTGTCAGCTACTCTGCAGCCTCCAACACATTAAAGAGTTTAGCAGTGCATGGCTGATTTGGTTGGGCCAGATGGTGATCCACAGTGCAAGATTTTAAACAGGCTATTCAAACTAGGAGTTTTCCAATGAAGTGATTAATGAAAATAGATGAATCATTTACCTTTTTTCCCCCTGTTTGTTTCTTTCTCCTTATCCACCATATGTAGCAGTGTTTAAGTTGTAAGTAAGACAAATTCCAGGTTGTGGAGGGTGGAGAGAGAAAGCTGCCTTGTTTTCACATTGTGTTGGAATGGAAATAAGAGGAGAGAGACCTGTCAGTTCCAGTTACCAGCAGCTCCTGGCTTGGGCATGTGCTTGCAGTGTAGGTTACCACCTCCTCGTTAGTGCTGCTTGAGTTGCTGTGAACTGTTCTCCCAAGCTGCCCTGTCAGTGAATACCTCACATGCTGCTTTGAAGAAGTACGGCCATCTTTCCGGACCCTATCACCTCCTAAGCAAATCCTGCACTGTTGCAAGAAATGTTTCCCTTTTGTCTGGCAAGCTGGAAGACTTTGCCTAAACGAAGTGCTCCAAAATTAATAGTCTGTGATATAGATGCTAATAGGGTGGTTCTGCAAGAAGTGGACAGTTTTCTTTAAGTAGTAGTGCTCTCTATAGCAACAGTTAAGAAATGGATCCCTGGATCTTACAGAGTACCACTGGGTATAGTGTTAATGTAATTTTATTCTGTAACTATTGTAAATTACTCTTTATGGCAAATTATTTTTCAGTGGCTATCTTCCAGATTTGTTGAGGCAATAAGGTGACTCAAAACATTTTATGGGTCTTTTTAATTACCCTGATAGGGTGCATTGAAGCCAGCTTGGAAATATAGACCCTCCCCCCATGTTGCAGTTCTATTAAACACTCAGAATCTCATTCTAATTAAGGATTACCTTTTAATTATTAGTTGTCTTTAATTCTTAGATCTTGTTAATTATCTTTCTTGAAAGACCATTGGAAACAATCCATCTTAATTAGCTTACAGAGCTTAAATATTATGACATTACATATTGTATTTGACAGTGATTCATGTACTCTCTGGCAATCGGTTTGATCTTGCAATTGTCAAGAAATAAATTAAGATACTATGACTTTATTTCTTACTCCGTTTCAGTTTCTGACATAATTCTTGTATTAATAAGTGTAAGGTCTTAAGCATTCTTAACATTTCTCAGTACAAAAAGGAAGCTGATTAAAACCACACAATAGCATTCTTAGCAGCAGATGTGTGGTTCTTCCACCATTATGTTGGAGACTTGACATAACTCATGGAGATAGTTAAGATGTTTATTCATTAAGCAGCACATCTCTAAGAAACCAATAATACATTAATTGGCTAATAAACACACCACTATTATTAGTAGTATTAATTCACAATTATATCACTCCAAGTTCCAGTGGTTGAATTACAGTTCTATTGCTTATTATCAGTATTAGCATTGATACACAATTACATTACTGCAAAGAAATCTTATACTACTAATCTGCAATTCTATTGCTTGTCCATCTGCACTTAATATCAAGGTACAAACTTATCCCTTCTTATCCATCCTACCATCCCAGCTCATTCAGACATGGACCTGATGGAGGGTCCGGCAGGAGAGTCCAAGGCGGTCCCTTCTTATATCAGCAGGAGCTTGGGTTCAGAGATCACCTTCACCACCATCATCAGGAGTCCACAATCACAAGATCATGGACATCACAAGATACTCCCCTTTTTGTTCTCCAGCTTATTTGCCTTTTTTTTTTTTTCCCTCTTTTCCTGAACCCACCTTTTTGCTACCCTTATGCCTCCTTTTCTCCTCCCAGACTCCTCCCTACCAAACAGTCCATGCACAGAATCACACAGACTGTATGAGGTTGGAACCTCTGGAGATGACCTAGTCCAGCCTCCTGCTCAGAACGTGCTCATGAAAAGCAGGTTGCTCAGAGCTAGGTCCAGTTGGGTTTTGATTATCTCCAAGGATGGAGACGCCGTAACCTCTGCGGACAATTGATTCCAGTGTTTGATCATCCTTAGAGTAAAAAAAAAAATTCTTATATTTAAGTAAATCTTTCTGTACTTCAGTTTGTGCCCATTGCCTCTTTCACTGTCACTGGACACCACTGAGAAGAATCTGGCTGCATCGTTTTTACTCCCATCAGATATTTATACACAATGATAAGATCCACCTCAGCCCTCTTTGGCTAAACAGTCCCAGATCTCTCAACCTCTCCTCATATGTCAGATGTCCCTTAATCATCGCAGTGGCCCTTTGCTAGACTCTTGTGCAGTATGTCCATGTCTCTCCTATACTGGGAAGCCCAGAACTGGATGGGACTCCAGGTGTGTCTCACCTGAGTAGAGGGGAAGGATTACCTCCCTTGCCCAGGTGGCAGTGCTCTTCCTAATGCAGCCCAGGATGCCATTTGCCTCGTGTGCTGCAAGGACACAGTGCTGGCTCGTGTTCAACTTAGTGTCCACCAGGAGCCCCAGGTCCTTCTCTGCTGAGCTACTTTTCAGGCAGTTGGACCCCAGTCAGTACTGGTGCCTGGGGTTGCTCCTCCCCAGGTACAGGACTTCGCATTTCCCCTTGTTGAATTTCATGAGGTTCTTGTCAGCCCATTTCTCCAGCCTATCAAGGTCCCTCTGGATGGCAGCACACCAATCTTGTCCATCAGCCACTCCTCCCAAATTAGTATCATCTATAAATTAGCTGCGGGTGCACTCTGCCCCATCATTCAGGTCATTAATGAAGATGTTAAACAGTACTGGACCTAGGATCAATGCCCAGTGTGCATTGCTAGTGACTGGTCTCCAGATGGACTTTGTGCTGCTGATCAGAACACTTTGGGCCTGGCAGTTCACCTGGCTTTCAGTACACCTTGGTATATCTGTTTGTCTACGCCTGTACTTCATCATTTTGTGTACAAGGATGCCATGGGGGACAGTGTCAAAACTGTTATGAAAGTTGAGATAAACACTCATTTCTCTCCCCTCATCCACCAGGCTAGTCTTTTCATTGTATAAGGCTATCGGGTCTAGTTACTTTTTCTCCTTGGTCAGAGTTGGGAGGTTTTTCAGGGCAGACTTTTGAGCCACAGTCACAAATTTTGCCCAAGCCCAGCTTTATTCTTGTAGCCTGTACAGCAGATGCATGTTCCATATTGCCTTCCACTGTTTTCCACTGCAATTTCTGCTTGCTGTGCCCAGTTCGGGGCTCCCCAATACAGGAGAGACATTGATAAGCTGGAGCGAGTCCAGTGCAGAGCCCCTAGGATGACTAGGACTGGGGCACGTGGTGTACGAGGAGGTGCTGAGAGCGCCAGGTCTGCTCAGCCTTGGGAGGAGAATGGTAAGGGCGAGACCTTATTATGGCTGTCTACAGCTACATAAAGGGAGAATGCAGAGTCCTTTGGAGATGTCAGACCTGTCAAGAAGAGGGGCAGCCTGAACATTTAGCTAGGTCTTGATGCATGACATTTAGCTTAATTTAAGTGAGATGAATCCCACTCACACTGCTAGGTGTTAATACTGATTTTCTAAGAGCCTGCAGAGCAGAACCCACTCATACACTGAATTAATCAAAAAGATTTAAAGAAATTTGGCTTGAGGTATTTTGGTGGTAATTTCTGCCTTTATCATTTTATTTGAAGCATGGCCTGACAGTGATTCATCTTGCAGCTTGGAGTGGAAATCTGGATATAATGAGAAAATTAGTTAAAGCAGGCGCTGATCAAAAGGCTAAGAATGAGGTTTGTTGATGACAATTTTTTACCAACTTTAAAGGTGTTTGTGTTGGAAAAAAATCAAACTTGTTCTTACAGAGTTGCTTACGGTTTTTCAGGAAGGAATGAATGTACTGCACTTTGCAGCTCAGAACAACAGCGTTAAAATAGTTGATTATTTTCTCCAAGATCTTCATCTGAATGACTTGAACAAGCCTGATGGGGTACAGTATGTTTCTTTCTGTTTATTTCTTTGATGTCATGAGGCATCTGTTGTGGGCAAAACAATCTTGACTTGGGGAATTTTAATGAATTTCAGTGTATTGCCAATTATATAAACATTTAATTACTAATTTGGGTATTGAGAAACAAGTAAGACAAACAGCCAGACAAGCACTTAGGGGAAACACCTTTCCTCCCTCTTTGCCTGTCTCAGCTGAACTCCAGACACCTCTCCTCCCTGCGCTCCTTGCTTTTGCTGCATGTGAGGCTCAGTCCCATTGGTGAGGTGATGGGAGGCAGAGGAGGTTGGGGTCAGACCACAGTGGTTTTCTTTTTTTCCCCGTTCTTTGTTTCTTACTCTTTTCCTCTGGTTCAGCAAGGGTTCTTCAGTGAGCTGCAGTCACCCTGTAGGTGTACCTCCTCCTGTGTCTCCTCCCTTGCATCCTCTCACGTCTCCTGTATCTCCCCTTGTGCATCCTTGCTGTAGCAGTGACCACCCTTTCTTAAATATGTTTTCACAGAGGTGTCATGTGCTTCTGTGATAGGTTGAGTGCTGACACATGGTGGGTCAGTTTTGTCCGTTGTGGAGCCAGCTGGAAATAGCTGTGACCAGCGCAGGGAAGTCTCTGGCCTTCTGCCACACAGCTCACCCTTACAGCCCCCTGCCCTTACCAAAACCTGCCAGTTATGGCCAACAGGGGCATATTTTGCCAACGTAGAGCATAAAACTATGTGCAGTCGTCCTACAGAGGTGCACCAACTCTTCAACACTGCCAGGGCCTTGTCCTCATCAAGTTTGCTGTGTTTTTATTTCTCCTTCCCACAATGTTGGGATCTTGCTTTGAAGGTTTACTTAGCTAAGTAGGATATTTTGTATTTACGTGAGGAATATTTATTCCTGTAGGATCTATCACCAAAAGAACAAAGCTCCCCCATTCTTTCTTTTGAGACTTGAATTGTCTTGACCCAATGCTGCAAAATTCTGAATTCTTTCTACACGTGACAAGACTGACAAAACAGAGTTAATTTAACAGAACAAACCTTTGTGGTTTAGGTCTTGGGAAAAGAAAGGTGAAGAAGAATCTTCTTTATGTTGAGGTTATGTCATAATTATCTATTAGTTGCTTGCATTTTTTTTTCTTAGACATTTAATATAGGCCACTCTCAGACAGTGAGGCTGTCTAACTAATTGGTTAATGGCCTCACTCTTTGACCAGTGGTATGGTTTTATGTAAAGATGACTTTCTGCAGTTGAGTTGTAAACAGTTGGAAAAGTTTTTGTTAGTTTAACCACCACCAAAAAACCCCCACAATGTACAGCACTAAATTGAGGCCTCCTGGATGAAACTTCAGAGAGACGGTTGTCCTGGTCTGTGCTTGCAGAATTCAGATCAAATGTGTTATGCCATGGAAATAAATCCTGCAACTTCTTCACTGCCTGTTTCTGAGCATCCTCAGACTTTTAATGACACAGCTCTTTTGATGAATATTTTCATACTGAGAAGAATTAAGAAATAAATATTTTGAGCACATTTCCTACCTTGTTACCATTTCCAAACAGTTTTCAAATATTTTCTTCAGGATATACAAGATGCATAATCTGTTTTTTTACACTAACTAAGGATGGCATCTTTCTTTAATTCTTGCTCATCTTGTGTAGATCTGCTTTTTTGTTAATCTACTTAGTCATATGATATATAAATTTTTATACAGAATGCACATACACATATGTATGTCTCATATCTAGTAACTGCAAGCAAAGTATTTTTACTTTCAATAACACTGTGTTTCTTTCCATAATCTTTTCTAGAAAGGTAGAAAGCCATTTCTTCTGGCATCTGAAAAAGGCCATGTTGACATGGTAAACAACTTGATTATTCTGAAGCTGTTTACGTCTGAAAAAGATAAGGTAAATATCTCTTTTCCACAGAAGTACAACTAAAATCACGCTTGTGAAAGATTACTTTGTTTCAGTGTAGTTACTACATAACCAAGCGATATGAGTTAAGCTGTGCAGATGTCAGGGTGCTGGCAGTGATATATACTGGACCAACAAATATACAAGGATGATGATTTTTCAGTAATTAAGGGAGGACAGTGGAACTTCTGGTCTTATTGCCATGAGACTTTTCCATATGCATTAATAATTCATGTAAAGCAAGACTAGCATATGCTGTCTCTTGGGAGAAGTGGGAAGGTCTGGTGATTAACGTGCCAGTCTCTGTACTGGGAGATCGTGTTTCCCAGTTTTTTGCTCTGCTCAGCTGTGTCTGTGTGTCACTGTGAAGTCCCACATGACTAATTTTTCAAAGTTGTTTCAATATTTCAGGGTGCAAATAAACACCCATGGGGATTTTTCAGAAGCATCTAAACACTTCAGTCTGATTGAGTTTGCTTTTGACATTGCATTTAAAGGTGTCTAAATAACTTTTGAAGTCCACCCTTAAATTTCCTTACTCCTTACTTCACTATTTGGGGAATGCATGTTAGTCTTTCTCTGCATCTGAGGCACTGCAGGATAAATACATTTAAAAGTGTAAAATGGTCAGATAATGCGTTTATAGAACCATATAAGCAAGCACCCAGGAAGTTATGCTTTTTTTTTTTTTTTTTTTTTAAATTCTGGTGCTACTTATACTTCAAAAGCTGCAGTGCAACCTGGAGCTTTGGTGTCCTAAGTAGTTTATCAGCAGCAGTTAAATAACAGGGTTGCCTCAGACATCTAGCAGGCTGAACGTGTAAAGCATCAAGGCTGGGAGGTGAATGATGTGGCCTAAAGAGTAAGTAGGTAAGAAGCCAGGACAGCAACTCATGTCATGGGTCACTGGAAGCAATCGCACTGTAGCCATCAATTAACAAACATACCTTTTCCTGAAATGTATTTGTCTTTTCTGCCCCTCCACCCCCACAGTGCTCTGATTGAAGTGTTCTGGATCCCCATTTCCCTGAAGGTTAGGATCCTTCTCCTAATTTCCAGCTTCAGTTTGTTTCTAGCCAGTTTTATACTTGTTCTTGTGCCAGCATTGTCTTTTAGCTCAAAAGCTGCTGCTCTTCTTGATAATCATTTAGCTTGCTCTTTGTTTTTATTTGCTTGCTGGTGCGCTATTTTTTTTTTTCTTACTTAGCTAGTGAGGAATGGTACTGGTGGTGAAGAGGATTGAAGATTGTGACATTGGCCTGAAAGCCACTGTAAGATTATATATACTTACCTAGGTTTTGGCCGTTTATCTTTAAATCAGTACTTTTGAGGGCTTGATGTCCCCATCCTTGTAGGAACCAGTGCCCAAAGTTTTCTGCTGATTCATTTTTTAGGAGTTAGAATTTTAGGTCTTTTTCACTGGTAATACACTGCAGTTTTCAGAATACGAGACAACTAACTAGACCAAGGTCATGTCTGCATACATATGAAAGGGTTCCTTTTGGATTAGTCTGGATCTTGGAACATGCTGTGTAGATCTGCCGACTCCTCCTTGTATGTAAAAGAGAGATGGAAAGACCAAAGGCTTTGTGTTTAAGTGCATGTTGGTTTTACTTAATGCTTTGACTTTATTCTGGGTTTTAAAATATCTTATTTGACATTTTAATTTCAAGGAGGGAAACACAGCATTGCATCTAGCAGCCAAAAATGGTCACAGCGAAGTTGTAGAAATTCTGCTCGAACAGTGGGAGGAAATAAATGACCTCAATCAGGTAAGGACACAGAAATTACTGAAGGATATAAAGTTTGAGATTTGAAAAATCAATTAAAAAATAACATTTTAAAGGAATAAATGTTGCACTGAGTAGACTTCATTAGTTCTGTTGCTTTTCTCTTTGCATCCTGTTTCATTGTTCCTCCTCCAATAAACTCAGCTCCATTATCTCCTTCAATGTGTCTTTCTCTGTCCTCTGTTCCTCACACAACGGTCTCCCCTCCTTCTTGCAAGCTTTAAATACTGGTGGAAGGAAACAGGAGGGCCTAACCTCTGCCTTGCTTCCTGTCCTCCTACATTTCTTGCCATGTGATCCCATTCCTTTTACTGTCTCTGGTCAGGCTGTTCCCTGAGCCTGTTCAACATGCATACCCAGCACATACCATCACAGGCACCTCAGCAAAGGGGTCTTAGATTTGTACCTTGTTCATCTGATCCCAACTGGCTGCGCAGAATTGGCTGCAGTCACTGCCTACTCACTTTTTCTTTCCCAAGTTAGTGTTGGTGAGTTCAGCCAGCATATTCATAAATTGCGTATTACCTGTGAAGGTTGGATCCCTGAGTTGATGCACTCATGAGCTTAATTTTAAGGCTTAAAGTAGGGGTGGCAGAGTGAAATGCACGCTAAGTACTCAGCTCAGCCTTCCTGCTTTGCAAAGGGTCCTTTTGTTTTCTGCTTTTTCTGTGAAGCAGCTGGAATGAACCGGAAAAGGTAATTCACTTCATTGTGGGCCAGCATGCCCATTGCAAAAACCTGCCATGTGGCTGACAGTCTGTTCTGGCCCAGCAGGCGACATGAGTAAGGGACACCCATTCCTACCTAAGGCCCTTCTCTTCTTTAATCAGCAACAGGTTTATGGGTTGAGGGGTTCTCTCTTATCCAGATGGTCTGTTATTTCCAGCTGCGCAAGCTTTGAGGCACATGAGCCCCTTTGAAATGCAAAGCCCTCGTGTTTCCAAGCCTTGTTTGACAATGTTGTTGCTTCTGCACACAAAGGTGGTACTGCTTGTGCCCCTGCCTTGCTGTGGCTAATGGTGTGACCTTCCTGTCCAGCCGGTGATGTTCTGGTCTGTGGATGAACAGGTCTCTCTTTCCCCAGCATAAGTAAAGTACAAAAATATATTAAGTTTACCAGAATGATGGTGGCAGGAGTTCAAGCAAGGATAAGTCAGAATTTATTGATGCTTCTGTGAATGCTGAAACACTAATTTCCAGTAAACCTTTGTGTATTTCGGGAGTTAAGAAGCAGGGATTAGATCATTGTGCAGCTGCTGTAACTTATTTTAAAGACTTGCTGTGGAGACATAGAGACTTTTTTGGGGTGAAAAGATTTGAAATAAATATGCAGCAGGACTATTTCTGCTAAAAGTGCTCCTTATAACTAGTGCTAGAGTTGGGAATGCATCACAAATCCATGGCATTGGACTGTCAGAAATTGGCACTTATGGTATATGCTAGCATGCTAGTGGTGTTGCCTGATGTTGAATGGCAGCAATTGCTACCCACCATCTTTTTTCTGTGCCTGTTGCCAGTAATCTTCTTTGAAAACAGCGCAATTAATATTTACGAAATAGTTATCTGTATCGTAAACCTTACCATACATCTGTCAACAGAAATGTCATCTGTCACTTAAGTGTTGGTGAGTTGCCATTTCACTTAAGTGTTAATTTAGGAGCATTCAGGTTGTGTTCTCTTGTGACCATCTCCCCTTTTCTGTTGAGCTGGATGAGTCTGATTGAGCTAACCTGGTTTTGTGTCACACTCTCACAGTCACATGGCTTAAATTGGAACAGGCATTTTCTCTCTGTTGGTCTAGAATGGAGAAACTCCTTTTTACTTGTCTGTTGAAGGAGGTCATGAAAAATGTGCTGAACTCCTACTGGAAGCAGGGAGCGACATCAACATTTTAACTCTAGTATGTACACAGAATCCCTCCAGCATGCAAGTACTGGGACATTCTGGGCTGTGGGAAAGACCTTATCTTCTCTTTTCTGGGTGTACTAACAGTATATTTTCTCTGCTTATTTTTATGAAATGATAAAAAAAAAAATTGGGAATGTGGAGAGCGCAACCATAATAAAACTGAGGTGGAAGAAACATAGTATAGATTTATTTGACAGAGTTCTGTGGTGGAGCTTTTTTATTTACTGTATGTTCAATAGTAAAACATATGACTAAGAAAAGTAACCAAGTAGGGTAATTGAAAATCCTCCTTTTTGGCAGCATATATGACTGAGCTGATGACAAACCTGTTCTCCACATCTGGTTCCTGGACTCCAATCCAGCTCACATCTGTTGAATGGCCTTGGCTTGCCTCCTGCAAGAACTTTATGATTCCAGCAGACTGAGAACTTGTTTGTTTTAGCAGAATTATTAGCTGAAAATTTTCTATTGATTTATTTTTAAAAGTTTGTTTGTTAAAGGTCAAACTGAGCTAGCAGACTAGGAGATATGTTGGCATTGTTGTTATCCACGGTGCAGGATAGCTAGCAATGCTGATTTCTCTCTTTCTTAGGAGAGATTGAAAAGCACTACAGATTACTGGTGGTTTTAGCATGTCTGTTGTGATGTAGTAAAAATGGGAGGTTCCGTCAGTATTTACAAAAAATACACCATGCTAACTGCTGATCAACTTCATTTTTTGTATCATTTCATCAAAGGGAGGGGTTTTTTGGGAGGGGATAGTAACACAAATTTAAACAAAAGATTATCCTGCACTGATAGCTCTCTGTAGTACCGTTTTTTCAGCCACAAAAATTTAAGTTTTTGCTGTCTACACCATTTCTTTCAGAAAAATAGCAGTGCTTTGCAGATTGCAATTCAGAATGGACATCTATCCTTGGTTACTTTTCTTATTGATAAGAGTATTGACCTGGTTCCTAAACCCGAGGTGAGTGTATATCAATAGAACTTTTCTGCTGTTTTTCAGCATGTCCTGGCTTTTATCGCCTTTCTTGGGAACTCAGAAAGCTGAATGAGATTGACTAGTTCCTTTATTTTTTTACTATACACATTATTAGGTGGTTTATGGATAGTGTTTAGCAATATGTATGGACCAATAAAGGCAAGGTCCTGTTGCACAAACCCAGCAAGTGCCTGTGCAGACTGGTGCAGTGCAGTGTAGAGGTGGCCAGGCTAAGCCAAGGACCGGGCATTAGGAGAAGGCGAGCGAAGTACCCTGCTTGAACTAAGCAGCAGTAATGCAGGCCTCCCTGTGTGCCATGGGCAAAGAGTTAACACTTGTAACTGATTCTGAATAAAGGAAAATGAAAGGTAAATAAACACTCAAGTGCTTTCACCCTCTGCTCTCAATGCCTATGCCTTCAAAATCTGCATGCGACCATTCTTTGGGGTTTAAAAAGAAGGAGGTATTCCTAATATTCAAATCTTGTCTCAATTTAGATATTACAGTTTTTGTTATATCTGAGATTTTCTGTAAATAGGAAATAATTTTCCACTTCTACAGTACAGGATGAAAATTAGAATCTGGACTTTGTGACTTACCTGCCATGATTACTAGCCTATTGCGTAATGTTATTAAGGAACAATGATTTATGATGTGCTTGAAATGATTTATTTTAAAGATCAGACAGTTGTTGTGCTGCTAGTTCTCACTGGCTTTCTATAGCAGAAGCAACTCATAAAATTGTAACTTATGTTTTAGAAATATTTCCAGTGCAGCATTGCATAAGAGCTTGCTTTATTTTTCTGTAGCCCTGAAGAAATGGCTGTGGTTTATAAAGACACTAATGAACTGGTGCTTGGCACCCATGAACGGCACTGGTATGGAATTGTTTTCTAGCTGTATTTAACAAGAAACTGATGAGTCACGGGTTCAACATGCAAAGTGATCTTGCCAATCTAGTGGTTGGATCATGACTGATGTTGGACCTATGCCCCAGTTATTTTAATGAATAATCACTCAAATAAAAAACCTTAATTTCTTTCTAGCTATAATTTGCTTTTTATATATATGACAGCAAGTCAGTTTAGTATAAAGAATATTTACAGCAGCAATATGTGACAAGAGTTTATTCGTGGAAAGTAGCTTTTGACAGCTGTATTCTGTCTCCAGCCTGTCCAGCTAAGGGCACACCCAGTTTTCTAAGGGAACAGAAACATTACCCTAAGCTCTCTATTGTCAGCCAAGGGTGGCAGCACATCCCAGGTATAAACACGTAAGAGGAGCACCTTGCTGCATTCCTAGGCGGTGATATGCTGATACGCACCCAGTGCACTCGACATTTCCAGGTTTGTCAGCTGTATTTGTTTACCTGCTGCTGTAGGTCTTGCAGGAGCAAGAGCAGGCTACCATCTCTGGCATAACTCTGCACCTTGAGGTGTGTTTTCTGCAGTCTCAAACTCTGTCGGAGCATATTATCTTTGCAAGGGGCAAATTTTAACAAGAACCTCTTTCTTGTTTCAGTGAACTTCTAATGAATGTACCCAAGTATAATAGTTTATTATTTTCCCTCCACAGCAGAAGAATTCCCCTCTCCATTTAGCAGTCATCAATAATCATCTACCAGTAGTAAAAAGCCTCTTGGATGCCAATCATGATATAAACTCCTTAAATCACGTAAGAAAAACTGGGAATTAACATAACTTCACTGGTAAAGAGGAGATTATGTGGATTTTGCTTGAAATATTTTTTTTTTCCTTATGAGCTCAGGGTACAAAAAAAATAGGAAGGAAGAGGCAGTTCTCTCCTTATCTTTTTGCATGTGTGCATGTGTATTAGTCACTGGTACATGCTGTGCTCGTATTGTTTGTGCAAGATAAGGATAGCAAAATGCTATATACTCAGAAAATATTTTGATTAATTTATTGTTTGAGTGTTACAATTCATGCATAATAAATGACAGAAATGTCTCAACAGGTATTTGATCTCAGAGGGGAACCCAGTGCAGAGTGTCAGCTGGCTGGGATGGAGTTAATTTTTTTCATAGCAACCCATAGGGTGTTGTGTTTTAGATCTGTGACCAAAACAATGCTGGTAAGGCACCAGTGTTTTCACTGTTGCTGAATAGTGTTTGCACAGCACCAAGGCCTTCTCTGTTTCACACTCTGCCCCCCCCAGTGAATAGACTGAGGGTGTGCAGGGAGTTGGGAGGGGACACAACCAAGCAGATGACCCGAGCTGACTGAAGTGATGCTCTGTGCCATACAACATCATACTGAGTGATGAGGCCACATTACACAGAACAATGAGGCCACAGGTCTCTGTGGTGCAATTAGTTAGCACGTTTGGCTGTTAACCAAAAGGTTGGTGGTTTGAGCCCACCCAGGGATGCCAGCATGTGTTTTCCCCAGCTTTACCAGGATTGTTTGGCCTCTGCTTGGTGCCAGTGGTCTTTGGAGGACTTGTTGGTTGTTGGCCAGTTCCCTGTAGACCACCTGCACCACTGCTAATCCCCTCAGGTACTGGATACCCTTCGCTATGGAAGTCCACTTGTTGCTGAATGTGATGCTGACGTATTTACTTTGGTGCTGGTTTGTTTGATCTCTTTTTTGCTGTACAAAACCTTCTATAATGGTTAATGATCATTTTCAGCTTTTGCTGTGTTGTGTATCACTTTGTTTTGCTTTGTCTGGGAGAGCCATGATAAAAACACTGGCCTTGAGCCTAATCTGGTATTTTTGGGCCCTACGCTGCTGCTATCTGGGTACTCAGAGAACCATCTCATGGAGAAAATCAGCAATTACACCTTTCCCCTTTTCACCTTGGAGAGAGTCTCTGTGGAGAGAGGAATGAATGGCACCTATCCCTTCTCCTCCAGGATAGGTCTCTCCTGTCTTCTTGTAATGGCCTCTCAGTTCCTTGAATATCCGTGTGTAATCAGACTGTTCATAATAGTGTGTATCATGAGCCTGATTTTGATTATTGTTCATAAGGTTAAACAACTAATGGGGAATGCCACACAGGAATGTGCCCAGAGGTGGTTGGTCCCTGGATGGCAGGGTGTGTGGGAGGAGTTGGGCAGGTTATTGGGGCTGCTATTGCCTCTAATAGCTTGGGATTTCACACCTGAACAGGCATGTAGTCCCAGGTAATTGGTACACCATTTGAAGGAGGGGAGCCTTGCCTGTCCCAGTGAAACACAGCGACTTCTAACGCTGTGTTGGGGCCTGGCCCATGCCTACTGAGCTGCCATCCAGTGCCCTCGAAAGAGGAGGAGGGTCTTCTGATCAAGGAGCACACAAAGGGATACTGAGAAGGTTTTCTGATCTGAAACCACCCATATGGACGTTGAAAAGGCCACTCAGTCTGAGGGCATGCACAGTGGCTTAACCAGAGACCCAACCCTCAAGTACTAATAGTTGCTCCTGTAGTCAAGAAGAAATGATGGAAACAGATGTTGACTCGGTTAGTAAGAGAAGCAGCAGCTCCAGCTGAGGAGCAGAAGGGGAAAGAAGCAGAAGAGGCAGCCTGACCTGCAGCAGGACAGGAAAGGGAAGAGACAGGAATGACAAGAGGCGAAAACTACCTGGTCCCCATCCTGAACAACCTGTGAGATAGGCAGCAAGTATTCATCCATCAGCAAGGTGAGCGCTTTGCTACCTGGTTGTTCCAGTGCTGGGAAGGTAGAGAAACCCAGCAGCTGGGGTCCATCACTAGGGACTATGACAAAGGGATCAGAAGAGAGGCAGCCACCTGCAAGCCTCTGGAGGTGGCTCTTAGCAAGTGTGAAGGCAAGGTATCTCTTCATAGATGATATTGTAAACCAGCAAGGCAAGTGGACTACCACAGAGAGTATCTGAGGGAGTTAATGGTGGTAGAGGTGGTCTACAGCAACCTGGCCAACAGCTGGGCTTCCAGAGATCCAGATGATATCCGGTGCTCATGGTCTGTGTGGCAGAATTTTCTATGGAGCTTACAGATATTGTACAACAGCACCCTGGCCATAATGGACTGGGCAGACATCAACACACCACTGTGTATAGACCGGTCTGCCAGTTACGGTGCTTCAAAGAGAATCTTTCTTCCCCCTCCCCATTGACCCTAAATCTCAGCTGTCGAGACTGTCCCACCAGATCTGTCGAGTCCCATGTTGGGCACTGTGGCTCCCTGTTGCGGAAATGCACCCAGGTCTCCCATGTGACTGGTGAGGATGATCCCCACAATAGTAGCAAGGACTAGTCTTTGAGAAATCTGTAGTTTCCCTGTTGCTGTTGATCATTTTATTGCTAAAGATTAATTTCCACACAGTTTTGTGGGAGACAGAGGCTGTCATTTGTGGCTGGAGTCAAAATAATTATGATAAGCTCTTCTGTCTCATAAATCGAGAATTTTGTAAACTTCTTGAATGTATCTTTTAGAAATGTTTCATGCTTTGTCTCTAGCATATCTGAAGTTATATACAGTAGCTACATACATACCTCTAAATTACTGCAGGAAAGAAAGTATTTTTGTAGGAAATTTCGGAGGTCATGTGATCATAGTGTGTATTCCCAAAAGAGTGGATGAGAGACTCTAATGTGGAACCCTGAGGCTGGTGTTTCTTGGTATGTAAGGTCTTGGGTGTTTGACTCCGCAACCTTTAAGTTAAGATCTAAAGGCCAAAAAAATTCTCTAACCAGACCTGCGGAATGTAGACTTGCAACATCATAGGACCATAGGCACAAACCTTCAACTTAAAAGGATGCTGTGTCACATGAAACACACTAAGGAACACGTCCAGATATGCAGGGTTTCCACAAATGACAGCATATCTTATTTGCTGCTGCATTACACCCATAGACATCTGGAATTTCTTAGTCTAATATTCTGTAGAAAGGTAAATGAATAAATAGGTTTTATTTGGGTACATACAACTGTGTAGAGACTACACAACCCTCATTTGAGACCCAAAGATTAGAACTGAAGCTGAATGTCCCTTTAGCTGTACTTCTTGTTAATGGTTTGGTTTTGTTTAATGCTTTTTTTTTCCCCCATCCTTTTTTTGTTTGTTTGTGTGTGGTTTAAGGCTCACTGAAGCCGTTATGGAGCAGGTAAACTTCTGTTCTACCTTCCACTCCATATCATTGTTTTGTGGCAGGGCTGGCTAACAAACCCTGTTGTGGACTGTGGCACAATGTACTGTTGAAAATTATGGATGTCCAGATGTCTTTGCTTTAATTTCAGTAGGGAAAAGGTTACTTGAGATGATAGTATGGCAGGGGGCAGGGGGGGGGGGGGGGTGGGGGGTGGGGGGTGGAGAAATACTTAACGTTTGTAAAAAATAATGTTCAGTTGCATGAAGCACTCTGCCCAAAACACCTTGTTTTAAGAGGGAAGAGAGCGAGCTCATTAGGTACATTAAAAGGGCATGACAGCAACTTTTTCCTGAGCCATCTGGAACTCCTGTCTGGTTTTCATGCAGAGATCCCAGATGCTCTTGTTTGCCTGAAACAAAACTGGCAGGTAGATCACTCGGTTAAATGCTTTCATTCTGTTCAGTGTTTTCTAGCCAAGGCCATCTCTTGTTCTGAATCTTCTTTAGATTTAGATTGTGAGCGCACTGCTTTTGAGGGGGAGTTTGGCTTATTGTATTTATTTGGTGTCATTAATTCCAGAGGCAGGAAACCCCTCTACATGTGGCTGCAGATCTTGGCAATGTGGAGCTGGCGGAAGTGCTGCTGAAGGCAGGCTGTGATCTCAAGATTGTGGATAAGGTAGACTGCATTCCTCACCCATGCAAACATTACGTGATTTCATTTTTTATTTTATAGCTTTCTTCCCAGAGAGGCAGGAAGCACTTGTTTCCAGTCACCTTTCTGAAGTAAAGCTAAATGTTAGTTGTTACAAAGGAGATCTCCTTTTAATATTGACATACCTGCAGCCTGAAGAAATCTGAAATGGTTTTAATGAAGTGCTGGTTTTGAGTTCAGATGTGATGAAAGCCAGTGGGGTGAAAAATGTAAAACTTCCAAGCTCCGTAGTTTGAAGGGTAAACCCCACCGCCAGAGACCTCTGATGGAAAAAAGGACTAGGCTTACAGAGTGGAAAACAGCCTGCGGCTGTTGTAGCTGTGCACCTGCAGCCAGGTTCATTGCCAGGAGAGGCGCAGGTAGTGCCAGCTTCACTAATTGCAGCAATGGTGAGTTTGCCCTCTAGCACTCTGGGCCATCTGGAAATGGTGGGGCCATGTCCCTGGGAAGCCATCCCAGATCCATTCAGGTGGGTGCTTAGACCCTGTTGCTCATGTTCAGCTTGGAAAGACTGAGGCAAAAATGGCAACGGCTGGAAGAAGTACCAAAGCAAAGAGTTTCCGGGGAATTTTGCTAAATCATTTCAAGATTGAGCCTGCCCTTTCTATACTGTTACCACTATATTGATTTTATGTATGACTGAATTGACAGACTTGCTGTCTATCATGAGCAAAATCTAGCTCTTTAGTGATTTAAAAAATTAATTTTCATGTATGAAACTGTTCTGAGGAGTAAAGCTTTATGGAACAAGGATCATCTCCTTTTTCCCTAGCCTGATGTGAAGCTTGGGGCTCTGAGTGTGGGTGACATGGTTGATGTGTTTTAGGAGGCTGAGGTAAGATGCTGCATTGCAGTTAAGCCTTCCCATTTGGAATCTTGCCTACAGTAGCCAGAGAGCTGCAGTACTCATATGGGCTAACGCAGAATGAAGTCTTGTCCACCTCAGACAGTGCTTTAGCTGTTGCAAAAATTGTCTCTGCCTATTCGTATTCCAAGGGCAATCACAGAAAATTACTTCTTATTGCCTGTTTTCACCTTAAGAACCTGCAAGCTTTTGGGCTGCATAGTGCCCTGGTGTTACAGCAGTGTTGGCAGAGTTCAGGGCATGTTATGAGAATATGGCTCTGAGCCAGCACAAGTTCTGTCACCTTTCTGCATTGGTTTTATTTCTTGGCATAGCTCTTCCCTTGTCTGTTTGCTGGATGACCCCTGAGGCCATGCCACCACTGGGAACATTTGCAAGTACAGCCCTCTTTGAGTTGAATTGGTGCTGAGATGCCAAAAATATTCCCGTCCTTCCCTACTGAAAAGTAGGCAGGAAAAAGGGGAGCCTGCTTTGACTGCACAGTGTTTTCCTGGCCTCCATCCACCGGCAGCAAAGGTCCTCAGTCTCCAGAGCTTGGCATGTATCTGCATGAGTTGCAAGCTGTTACAGCTCAGGAAATGCTCTCTTGGGAGCTCTTTCTTCCTCCCGTCTGCAGATATAATTGTGGTTCGTTGTGACTGATAGTGCAGAGAGCACTCCCTGTGTGCAAGACTGCTGTGCTATGTGTACACGCAGGATGCCAGTGGTGTCTGCACTAGGAGGCCAGAGACACCCCCTTTTTCTACCCCTCCACCTCCCTGGAAAATGCACAGAACCTTTCCAGAGGTGGGACCCAAGAAGCTCTTGTGGTCTCTGGAGTCTTCACATATAAAGTATGTCTGTGCTATAAAGATCTGATGAAATGTCAATGCTTTGGCTTCCAATTTGAATCTTTCCTAAAAACAGGCTAATTAGAATGATCTTGAGCAGAGCGAGGAGCTAGAATGCAAAAGGCATATATTAGGGAACTTTATAATAGCTGGGGAGTTTAAATGCCTTATAATTTAATTACTGAACCTTCTAATTAAAGGGTTGGCTTCTTTTAGGTATAATTTTCTAGAATGCCTAGCACTTGATATGTGGAGAATACCCTGAATATTTACATCTGAGGCAGCTCCACTCAGTGCAAATCTGCTAAAAATAGACAATTGCAGAGAGAACGCTGTTGAGCCACTGGGATGCCTTTACATCAAAGTGCTGATAGTGGAGATGGGTTCAGCTAGACCGAGCAGTCCTCTGCAGCTGCAATTAAAGAAATGGCTTTTTATTCCTTTGCCTGTTCTACCCATGAAACATCACCTTCAGTTGTGCTCCCTTCAGTTGTCATGAGAAAGCCTTTCCCACATCCTCTTTTCATTCTGTGAGCCAGCTTCTCTTATCATCCAAAACAAGACACAGGTTTGCCCTTAAAGTTGGAGGTTTCCAACTTTGCCAGCCTATCCATCTGAAATGCCAGTTTAACCATAACATGGGAATGAACTGTATTTGTGATAGTTTTCAGCCTGTGGATGCCTGGGCTTGCATGAACTTGGAAGCAGTGACTGCAGAGCGCAACCTGGTATGAAGTATGCAGCAGTATGAGTGCTGGAGGTTTCTTGAAAGCAGTTGTACCTCACCAGAAATTCTTTAGGGGGAGTTCAGTGTGGGAAAAAAATTACCACCTCTGAGCTGAGGGGATACAGCTCATGCAAAGCATAGAACCTTGATTGTAGCTACTCTGAAGCCATGAAATTGTAGTAATATGTTTTCTTGAAAAAAAGGGATAGGGGTCTGTAAACGAAGCTCCTGTGTTTCTTCTATGATAGACTTATCCTCATATATATGAGATGTTCTGATTCACCATCTCTGCTTTCAGCATGGAAAAACTGCGCTAGCTGTGGCATCAAGGAGCAATCATGCCCTGATTGTAGATATGATCATTAAAGCAGAAAGGTATTATGCCATGAAACAGGTAAGAGACATCTTTCATTACACTGAGGAGAACTGTAAGGGAAAAGCCAATTCTGATCTTGAAGCACCTTTTGTGTGTGGTGGTTCCTTTTGGCAGGTTGCAGGACTGGCCTTGATAAACTGAGGTTAGGATTGGAAATGGGAAGGTCTCTACCCCGTCCAGGTTTTATTCCTGACTAGCTGTAAAATTTTAGGCAGATCTTACTGTTTTCCTGCATCATGCTCTACACACAGAGATAAAGAGGTGGAGAGAGATTCTGAACCAAATTCAAACTGTGCCATCAGCATCAAGGTTGGGATGACCTGAATCCACACTGAACCATGTGTCTGTCCTTCGGTATAGTGAAATCCATGGCTGAAAAATGGAGGAGTACAGGTGTCTGTCACTCCTTTGCTAGTAAGGGCTCAGCTGCTTTGCCAGGAGCTCCCTCTTCTGTTTTATGTGTGTTAATTATAAAATGCAATCAACAAAATGGGAAAGAACGAGGCAACAAGTGTGAAGGACATGGCTTAGATTGACCTCAGATTGTCGGAATTTCTAACCTTCTTTCCCCAGTTGTTATTTAAACGTAGGCTGCTTAGTGATGGCCCTCCCGAAAGGGCTGATGGTCAGATGTATTAAAGCGTAGATGACAATTATTTTGGCCTGCGCTGACTATCCCATGGTCATTCCATCCCTGGAAGTGTTCAAAAAATAGGGACACTTTGGGACATGGGTTAGTGGACATGGTGGTGTTGGGTTGATGGCTGGACTGATGATCTTAGAGATCCTTTCCAATCTTAATGATTCCTCGTTTTTACTTCCATAAAAAAATAACCCAGCCACCAAGCCAGGAAACATGAAATTGCTACTCTACCCTTAACTGGTTTAGTGGTGGACTTGGTAGTGTTAGGTTAATGGATGGACTGGATGATCTTAAAGGTCTTTCCCAACCTAAGTGATTCTATGATTCTATGATTTAGGAATCTGTACATGCTCTATAGGCAGTTAAGTGTCTGAACAAGAAAAGCTAAGCTTAGTACTTCTTAAAACCAAAGGAGTATTTGGAGCTGGGCTGCTGGTAAGGCCCATTCTAGAGACATGCCTTGAAACTCAGACCCAGCTCAAATGCATCTTGAAAATTCAGGTCATGTCATGTCACGGGCTCTTAACTAGGATCATTTAGAATTCTGAGAAAGTTTATTTATTCTGTCAATGTCAGCTGTAGCAATGAGCCACAAAGAACCTGCTATACCTACACACTTGATGAAAGGGAGGTATTTCATAGGATGGTGAAGGTTCATTTTAGGGCATATTAATGCTCCATAGATCAGTCTTGTATTGGCTTGCTCAGTTTTTCTTGTTTGGAGCCATAAGTTTACGTGGGCTCCCTGAGAATTGAGTCAATTTGCTGGGTTTTGACACAGTACAGTTTAAAGTCCTCAAGCTCTCTCAGATACACTGTTCGCAGACTGGTGCTAGTGAGGCAGTAAAAGATATATCTTGTAGCATCCACTGTAAAAACCTGCAAGAAGGAAGATGCTAACACAATTTATTTATGTAGAGCAAGTAATTCTGTGAGCACCAGAGGTAGCAACCAGGGCAAAAGGACTGGTGAAAGGAATTCACTTGACTGTCAGCTCTTGTGCTCATTGCTGAGCTGCCACACAAATCTGTAACTTCATTCTCATTCCTG